ATTCAAGAATGATTAGATTGTTGCAACCCACACAAAAATATATTGGGTGCTCTAGTCATGTATTCCATGGCCCAAGAACCATCCCTCTGAAAGCACATGATAGGCATGACTAAGGGTCCGTTTGGTTGGCCTTTTGGCTTTGGCTTTTGGCCCCAAAAGTCAAAAGCCCAACCAAAGGGGCTATTTTTTTAGGCTGCTTTTTTAGAAGCAACTGCTTTTTCGTATTACATTTTTGAAAGCTGGTTTGACCCTGCTTTTGGTTTTTGGCTTTTTGCTTTTCGAAATTGGTGGAATAAAAAGCTCTTTCATAGTTGTTTCAAGAGAGATAAAGATAGAAGATATATTTTATACTTGTTTAACCAAACAGCTTTCAGCTTTTTTACAGCTCACAGCCCACAACAGCTTTCTCACAGCTCACAGCCCACAGCAGCTTTTTCCCACAGTCATAGCTCAGCCAAACACACCCTAACTCTCCACCAGCAGCAGCAACAAATAGCAATCACTTGTAAGAAAAAAAATGAAATCTCATTACACAAGATGTTTCACTAGTATTACAAGGGGAAAATGTCGACACCATAACAGACTATCAGTGAAAAAACAATCTGGTTTCAGCCTACCTGACCATATCGTTAAGTAACTGATGGATGAGCTTTCTTTCTCTAATATGCTTTTAAGTAGCTGATGTTCTTCCGTTTATCTAGGACAACTCAAGACATGCAATAATTCATCAACTATAATTTAAATGTGCAAGCATGATCTATGTCCAAAAATTAGTTAATGGGCAAATGTATAGCCCCACAAACAAAAACTTCTTCTAGACAAGCCGTTGTGCAACCATGATAAATCTAAGATTGATCCAGCGCGCGAGCGCGCGCACACACACACATACATATATATATATATATATATATATGGGAAGGGAACATTTGATACAACCTGGCCCATACAGGATATGTGCTTGTGTTTGTAAAATAGGAACCGATTCTCTCTTTGCTTGTAAAGAGAAATCGATGCAACCATGACTCTGATTGGACATTTCAGAAGAAGAAAAAACAGCTGAAGGACAACACAGAATCGATTGGCTCTGAATTATTGAATTTTGTCCCTAGTGCATGACTCACTCTGATGGCATATGTGCTCACACCGAATGAAGATATTTGGTTTGTTGGACACTGCATTGAAAATTGCAGCTCTGCCTATGCTGTGCATTTCTGTGCTTTTCGTGTTTGTGAAAGCTAAATCATCGTATATTAATCAGTTACCTCTTCCAATAGGCATGCTTTCTTGCAGTGGTATTAATCCTCCGAATGTACCTTACAGTTTGCACAGTTTAAGTTCATTCAGCATATTGATGGACCAACAACCATGTAAAGCAAATTCGCTTTGTAAAAGAATGGATAGCAGTAAAGGAAGCACCATCATGTCAATGTCCAACCTACTTTTTGGTAATTGATGACAACTCTTTCACAAAGATCTCATAATCACTTTGATAATCTAGGTTAGCATTTAGGGTTTCATCAATTCACCAAAACTAAACTAGATCTTTCAATCTCCCCTTTTTGGTAATTGATGACAACCCTTTCACAAAGATATAAATTAAAATTCATTTGAATCCATGTTGCTTGTCCAAGTATATTTATCATGTGTAAAAGGGTATGGACAAGTTTCATGAATCCCATATAGTTGCAATTCCTCCCCTACATATGTGTCAAAAGTTTGGATTGTAGCTTGCACATATGTTTAGATAGGAAATGTAGGAGATAATGTCTACCAAATGATGCTAAGGTATAAAAGATGGACCTTTGAAGCGTGATACCAATCGGAGTGCACCAATATACCATTCTTAGCACCATTAGTAACTAGACATACATAAAAAATAGAATACCCCATGAGATCAACATTAGAAGTAAGGGTCTAGTTTTCATAAAATGAACATAACTCTAGTTTCTTAACCTATGCATGCTTATTTTTCATTTCATCATTCAATCCTACAACTAGCATATACCACACAAGCATGGATATTAAAATTTAAAACTTGTGTCATGCAAGCAAACATATGAAATGCACATTCAAATGCATCCACCAAGTTTATGAGCTTACTCCTCCTACTTGTGTGCTCAAAATTTTAATTGATCACGTTACTTTGTCATATCTCTCTCTCTATGTTATCTTTTCACTATCTTTTGTAATATCTCTCTCCCTATGTTATCTTTTCACTATCTTTTCTTTACTTTATCATATCTCTCCCCCTATGTTATTTTTTTATTATCTTTATATACTATTTCTCTCCCTTGTCATCAATGACCACAAAGGTTCAAAATGTAGATAGATTGAGATTATCAATGTCAATCAATGAGGTGAGGATCCCAAATTTGGTTCAATCTAGAACATTTGCCAAAGATATTTAACTCGGTTTGATCCAAGAATAAGCTTCCTCACACATTCAAATAAGGATTATCTTGTACCATGTTGAGTTAAACACTTATAGCTCATTTTCTAGATCAAACACTAGGTTTACAAGCCCACAAACATGTTATATGCTACCACTAGACCAAATTAAGCATAGAAGCAAGTGGTACCATACAAACATCAAAATCATTTGATTTTCTTAAATGAGCCTATTAAATGTGAAAGATGACTAGATGTACTAAACATGTCCTTAGCAATGATGTATGCCATGCTAATCAACTTTTACCTTGGATTGCTCGAAGTAGAAGCATGTCATATAAGTGAGAGGTGCATCAACACATATTTGAGAAATCCAATATGTTCAACTCATTCCTTAGCTTGCAAAACATTTTCTCATCCAATGGCTTGGTGAATATATCGGCAAGTTGATCTTCGGTGCCTGCACTCTCAATGCAAATGTCTCCTTTTCATTGGTGATCTCTTATGAAATGGTGGCGGACATCAATGTGCTTTGTTCTTGCATGTTGAACCGGATTGTTGATTAACTTGATTGCACTCTCATTATCACATAGCAATGGCATTTTCTTAAACTTGATTCCAAAGTCACTCAAGGTGGCCTTCATCTAAAGTATTTGTGCACAACAACTACCGGCGGATATGTATTCGGCTTCGACAGTTGATAATGCAACACTATTTTTCTTCTTTGATGACCATGAAACAAGTGATCTTCCCAACAATTGACATGTGCCTGAGGTGCTCTTCCTTTCAACCTTGTATCCCGCATAATCCGAGTCAGAGTAACCAACTAGCTCAAACTTTGCTTCTTTGGGATACCACAAACCAACATTTTGTGTATGCTTTAAGTATCTCAATACTTTGTAGCCTTCAAATGACTTTCTCTTGGTGAGGATTGAAATCTTGCACACATGCATACACTAAACATGATATCCGGCCTTGATGCGGTCACATAGAGTAGGCTTCCAATCATAGACCGATATAATTTTTTATCCATTATATTATCACTTGCATCACTATCCAAGTTGCCATTTGTTTTCATTGGTGTACTAATAGCTTTGCTATCACTCATGCCAAACTTCTTGAGCATGTCTTTTATGTACTTGCCTTGACTAACAAATGTACCATTCTTCAATTGCTTGATTTGAAGACCAAGGAAGTAACTTAACTCTCCAATCATGAACATTTCAAATTCATTAGCCATCATCTTTTCAAACTCTTCACAAAAGTATTGATTGGTTGATCCAAATATGATGTCATCAACATAGATTTGTAACACAAATAAGTCTTTGCCAATCTTCTTGGTGAAAAGAGTTGTGTCAACCTTGTCTATCATGAACCCTTTAGAGAGTAGAAAGTCCAATTTCTCATATCATGCTCTAGGTGCTTGCTTCAAGCCATACAATGCCTTCTTCAACTTGTACACATAGTCAGACTTCTTGTCATCTTCAAAACCGGAAGATTGTTCAACATATACTTCTTCATTGATGTAACCATTGAGAAATGCACTCTTAACATCAATTTAATATATTTAAACGGTGTTTAATATATTTAAACGACGTTTAACATAGTAAACGAATGTCACATGTTTTATTTAGACCTTAAATGATGAATTAAACAGTTGAAGTTTAAACCGTTAAAAGTTAAATGTGATTAACTAAGGACGATTACAACTACTGCATTGCACTAGCTAATTAACATCGTAAGTATATAAGATGGAGTGAGATTTAGTTTTATTCCAAAAAATATTTGATAGAATACTTATTTTGTAGCGTTTTTTTTTTTTGCTACACAAATATGTAAATCTTAGTATTAATATACAAAATTGTTTAAATCATTTAACTTTGTTTGAACACCGTTCTAAATGACCTAAACGCTAAATTCGACGTTTTAGCGTTTTAGGATAACACTGGTTGAAATCGAATAAATTTGGTCCTCGTGTTGATTTCAAATGTGTTCTACTTTCTAAAATTATTAAAAAATTTTGTTTAATATCTAAAAATTCATAACTAATTCATTTTAAATTGGAAAATTACGAAACTAGTACCAGTTTCTTTCTAAAAGTGTTTGATGCTCTGTTTAAAGTTATTTGGGTCTTATGAAGTTATGTTCCTATTGCTTATTGCTTATAGTCATGCATACTATTTATTTAAATTATCGTTTTGCATCTACTTTATGTTGATTACTTGTTTGGGGCACTGCCTATTTTTAAACCTATAACCTAATCAGGAAATCAACATAAAGTAAATTACTACTCATGCAATGCCTAAATATGATCTATACATATGGTGAAGCATGATATCTATGAGGTTGGTATCACCTTTTCTCATCTTTTTTCTATGTATAACTTATAGCCTGCCAGATCAGCCTGCACGAGTGGAACATCAAGAAATCAGAGCAAGTTTGTTTACGACTCCTGTGCAAAACTGGGGGAAAACATTCTACGTTCCAAATCCAATTCAGATACCAGACACCACCACATTCAAATTCATCGGCGTCACTAGTGACATCCTACACCACACTGCACTCCTGCAAACGATAACAAAACGCAGCGAGATCGAGTGACCATGGCCGTGCTACAAAACGCTGCTGCCAAGTTTGTCCCTCCACGCCAAATAACCATGCCGTTTCTGGACGACGTCCGGAAGAAGGGCGGCGCCCTCGATGACAATGTTGGAGCCTTGATCGATTCTGTACGATACATCGATGCCTTCAAGATGTAGGTGGTAAACCACACCGCAGTGACCTGTGTCCCTGTGGTCATCATCAGTGTCTTCGCCACAGTGGTCATTGGCATCAGCTTCCATGCTCACTTGATGGGGACGGGTCCGCTGTGAGATAGATCTGATGTCCCAGGAAAGGACCTGCTTGATAAGATCCTGAAACTCGTCTGCTGAAGCATAGAGCGACTGCTGCTGCTGAAACAAATAAACAGATTTTGAATTGTAAGCCCAAATTCTTATTTACAGTTGGCCTAGTGTGATCCCTTCTCATATGAAAAAAAGAACTGAAATTTAATTGCTATTCAGCATATAAGATTTCTTTTTTACAGACAAAACATCAATACCACTTACTATATGCGTCCAGCAAGTGGGAAGTGCAAAAATGAAATGTTCAGAAAAATGGACAGACTCCACGGCTAATGCACCATCAACCTGCTTCAACAAAATTCTCCAGGTGATGAACAATGAAGGTACTCAATTGTAGCATTGGCATAAAATATAGCAATATGAGATCTTGCACGCGAGCTGTGAATCAACAATTCCTGAATGGAACATAAACTTTTCTTTCAATACCCAAATCTTACTCTCAAGTATCATTCAATAACCCCCATATTACGGAAGAAAAGATTTACCAAAATTCTGAACTGTCTAAAAATAAAATTAAAGCACGAGCTACACATCTTTTCAATTAGATAAGGCCAGTGCACTTGTATGAAGATAACTAATTAGCATGTATATGCAGACATCATCAAGCATCAAATGCTGTCCAGCGTTCACTACTCGGCAGAACGATGATTCATCCAGAAAAATAAACACACTTATTTCGAATTGATGAGAGAGATGAATTTTCAAGTTTGGAGAAATGCATAAACTGAGATGCAATATTGTACATACCTCTAACCAATTGGGAACAGCTGCACCTTTAACACTGTCAGAATATGGCAGGTATGGTTTAATATCAAGCACAGGCTGTTGATAGGTGATCAATGTATTAGGAAGAGTTCACAGCTGACAGAGCTTAATTATATCAATCCTTTGCATAATACTGGACCATATAAACGCTTAAATTGGTACCGTGCCATCAACCAAATCTACTCCAGAAAGCAAAAGAGTATGCCCATCCACCGCCTCCACCTGTAAAACGTTGAAATGAAGGGAAGAAAACGTCAAACCATTATAGCATGCATAACAAGATTAACCAAAGCAGGCAACAGCTCAAAGCACATAAGAAATGTTCACATCCAAGCATACACAGTAGCCCTAGCATCTAGCATGCTTAACAAGGTCAATCAAACTAGGCAATAGCCCAAAGCAAATAAGAAATGTTCACACCCTAGAATCAATCGGAATCAATATATTAGTTGCCTTTCTTATAATTTAAGTGACACAGTAGGATGTTTTGGTCACAAGAAAACCTTTCTGAAGAGAATCCCTGTGGTGAAATCTGTGTGAAAAAACATCCTTCAGACATTAGATAGCAAGCAGCATTATAGATAGCAATGATCGTTATGATTATTGTCCTAGAAATTTACAATTCTTCAATCCTAATATTGATTTCCTCACTGTGTTCCAGAAAACAATAATTGAAGACAAACACTGGACCATTTCAGGTGATACTTCAACCATTGCACTGCAGAGATCATAGAGGACAATAAGAGGAAGGCTAGTTGAGTTGTATAATTAGTACCTTTGCTACGCTGAGTCCGATTGGATTAGGCCGATGTGGCGATCTAGTTGCCAAAACCCCCATCTTGCCCCCTTTCAATCTCGGTACCCTTACCTTCAATGAGAAAGCAGAAAATTCCATTAGTTCAACCCAATATCCACTGCAACATTCAGAAGAATATTCATTTATATCAGAAAAAGGAACCACCAAAGGGCTAAGAACAAAACCATACCTTTGCTTTTAGCTTAGACCTAGCAGGATCTTTCCATAGTTTATCAAGATCAGTGTTAAGGTGAAAAACATAAAGAATCCAGCAATGTGAGTAACTAGCTAGTCCCTCCAGGGCTGCTGCGGGGACTCGGGCTGGATCAAGCGCCACAGTTGCCCTAGCCAACGTAACTACCAAAGGCTGCCTTGGTGTACCATTCCTGCGTTTGTAGGGTCAGCAAGGCATATACGTTTAGGTCCATAGCTCGGATTAATTGATAATTTGCCCCTCTTTAAGAGTGGACCATAGCTCGGTTTCCAGACCTGAACATTTACATACATCCACACCAAGCATTCACTCTGGCAACTATTCAAGAAATTGATTGAATACTACAAAGCGTGAGAAATGGGAACAAAATCGATGGCAATCAGCACCTAGTGGAGAAGCAGGACTGGACAGTGCCAATCGGCGCCAGCGGGTAAGATGCTGGGGCGGCGGCCTTGGCCGGCCTCGCCTCGTCGGAGCGAGACTCCTGCTGACTCAGTGCCCTCCTCAGCGACTGCAAGCAAGGAAACGAAATAGAGATTCGGCAGCACGAGAAAACTTGCAGTGCCGGACGGCGGCGACCTCACCTGCTGGGCCCGCACTCTGCCGCGGCGCTCGGCAGCGACCTTTTCTGCAGCGACCGCAAGTGAGACCTCCACCTCGCGGACCCGCGCGGCCAGACGAGCGCATTTGCGCCTGTAGAGCAAGCCTGTGGGATGGGCACGTCGGTGAGGGAGGAGAGGTTGATGTTGGGAACTTGGAGCTAGAAACGATGAGGTGAGGGAAGAGCGAAAGATTACATGAGAGGACGATGGCTGCGGCAGTGGCAGCTATGGCGGCGCCGGCGAGGCTTCGCGGCGGCGCCATGGTGGAGGGGCGTCGAGTCGACGGCACCGAGGCCGCGCTAAGACATGGGCTTCGGTGAAACTGGGCTGCGCTTCGGGTTGGAGAACGTGGGCCGACGAACTAAGAGAAAAGTCTTTGGGCATACTTTTTTTTCCCAACTTTCTTTGGATATACTGGGAACTTTGCTGATCTTGTTGGCCTCACCTGGCCCCTCGTTCAGCAAAGCATTGCTCATGCGAGCGAGCTGATTTAGCTCTGCTCTCTAGCACTGGCAAGGAAATCTTTATGAATTTTTAAAATTAAACCAGATTTTAGAATTTGTAATTGCATTATTTTTCCATATAAAAATATTTGACAGTTTTTGAAAAATATTTTTATGATATTTTTTGTATTTTAAAATGTATATCTTTTACCTTTCGATACCTGAGTTCAAGCTCATGCATCTCATTGGGCCACGTCATACTTAAATTCTCTGCCATCCGATCGAGCAGTAACTATTTGCTGATCATTTGGTGGCTTGGGTGGCCCCCCCTCACATGGCTCTTATTCACGAATGAACCAAGTAATACTTTCTCTTACATAAACGAATCAAAGAACGATACGTAAAGCAACCAACCGAATGCGCTTATATATCCTATGGCTAACATGGCTCTGTCGTTAGTGGCTTCTGGTCACCTGCAGCGAGTTCCAGAGAAATCATGGCTGACGACCCTACCTCTCCTGCCTTTTTTTTAATCCGTGATGTCACTTGAGGTCTCGTACCCTTTTTGGCCTTTTATCTTCCGAGTTAACCATGCAAAAGAATAGGCAGCAGCAAGAAGTTGATTCCATAGAAGAAAGCGACATGAGCAACAGTACTCCCAACTGTTAATCCACTTTGGCTTGTTTCAATCGAAAGGGAGACAGATATATGTTATTTGTATAAATCTTTTGGTATTAAATATAGATAAGATATGAACTTACTTCCAGTCAAATGGTGTCGATGTACAGCTCTCTCTTGAGAAATTGGTAGTGCTACTATTAATCTACAGTCATTGGTTCAAGTCACGGGGAAGAGACAGCTTCAGGTGAAGCCAACTTGAGGTTCTGCTAATGCTCCTAAATGCTGGCATTATTATTGTTCTAATTTCAGATACTCATAAACTCTGATATTATGGTTCTCATTGGGTACTGATGAGAAAATTAGAGGGCCTACCAAAACCAATAGTGGTGAAACTCCCTTTTGCATTTGGGCTATTTTAACTACAAAATCACTCATGCTCATACTTTGCTATTCTTTAGTTGCACATCAGCTACTTGGATTACTCATGCTTTAAGCTAAGCTCTTATGAAGTCCTTCCTTGCGACTGTTTGAATGGAATAAGCAGCAGGTCAATTTGTTCTATGTGGTATCGGATTCAGCTCAAGTGGGATCTATCAAGCTTTTAGTTTCCCACAAAAACGAGAATTAATTAGAGCTTACTAATGGACTATGAGATGTGACAAGCTGCAGTTTCTGTTCTCCGAAATTCATTGTCAACAAAGAATGCCAGCTGTGATAACTGTCACTTTGGAATGAAGTGTTTTTAGCAAGGGACAAACACACAAAAGTAAAACTACTGCTTGTTTTGGAGTTATTGAAACTGGGATACAATGTGCAGAATGATATTCTTATACTCTTCATCCCGCTACATTTGGAGCACTCTGACGAAAACAATGAGCCAGACAAATTTTGGATCTTATGACCATCATCTTCTGATACTTCTTCCTGTTTGGTTCTCCTATCGACCCACAACCATTGTGCCAAACTTAGTTGTAAACAAGAGTTAATTTCATTTAGGCATAAACTTTTACCTAAAATATAAATATGGTCAATGTTATATCTAACCATTTCAGGGACCTCATTCACAAATTGTGAAATTGACTATGCCACTGAAAACATGAACAAATTTGATGTCAACATCTTAACAAAGAAAAGTTCCACGATTTCTCATGTTATACCCTGTCTCTTAATCAGCATCAACATTGTTTTGAAAAGAAGATTTAGTAACTTGCAGAGAAGATATAGTAAGTAACTTTTACCTGAAGAGAGCAACCGAGCAAATCTAAAGTTTATTTCCTGCTACCAATATCTGTCCTTGTTTTGTTTTCATAGTTGTGTTAACCCAATTAAATTAAAAACTTATACTCGGAACTCTGATATGCAGGAGCAATCGACAATTCCAACACTGTATGTACACACATTGACAAATATGATACACCCATCCCAGATTTATGTGCTCTGTTTAAACCGAAGCCTCCAGTAAGGTAGTTTGGTCTCCTGTTAGTTCTGCATAGCTTGATTATGACTTCAACTTACCTACAAATGGTCTGCATGATGTGATGCAGCCTGACGAAAACTCAAGATGAAAAAAAATTCTTTCTTCCTCGCCCTCTCAACCACTGTGAGTTTTGCAGAAAGCATCACAAACTTTTATCAAGTTCAATGGCCCTTTTTGCAGCGGATTGATAGTTCCAATTCAGTTTTCTACCTACATTTGCAAGACCCAACCTGCAAAGATGGATTGACCAGCTCCATGGAGGGCGCGGCAAAGCCACGCCTGGTTTTCTAGTTTTTATTCTAATTTACCTCTTGGGGTCGGGGCTGATATGGCACCATGTAGAACGATTGACATGGCACCACATCTGCAAAAACTACCATCAAAATTGTCTAGGGATTAGCGTGCAAAAACAAATAGTTTCAAAAGTTGAGGAGGTGTTAAAAAACATTTTATAAATGAGGTAGAGGCCACAAAAGTTGAAGGAGTCAAAAAGACTTTTTCTTCATTATAAGGGTCTCAATTCACATGCTTTATTATAGTTGGGACTTAATTCGCATGTCTAGAATTTGAGGGTTTGCCTTCGTTTTCTCTTGTTTTTCTTTACTAGCGAATATGTATGTGTGGTAATAGAGTTTACATCTTGCATCATCTATTCTAATACGTTTTGGAATCAGTTGTATCGTGATTGGATGTGCGCTATTCTAACTCATATAAGCATAGGTCAGATAGGACATTCACGTGTCTAGAATTTGAGGATTTCTCTTCGTTTTCTCTTTTTTTCTTTACTAGCGAATTTGTATGTGTCACAATAGAGTTTACATCTTACATCATCTGTTCTAATATGTTTTGGAATCAGCTGTATTGTGGTTGGAGGTGTGCTATTCTAACTCATATAAGCATGGGTTGTATTCTTGTAAGTTAAGGTCACTGATAGGACAATAAACTAATTAGAACTCTAATATCTAAGGGTAAAGTACATTTTTCAACCTCCAACTACTTATGTGGATTATTATATGACAAAAAGAGAAAAACACCAACTACTTATGTGGAAGCTATAAAAACTTCTTGTTGTACAGCTTATCAATTAGCAAGTAGCACATGACTACACAGAGAACACGCCTTGAAGAAAATTGGATTATTATATGACACAAAGAGAAAAACACCAACTACTTATGTGGAAGCTATAAAAACTTCTTGTTGTACAGCTTATAAATTAACAAGTAGCACATGACTACACAGAGAACACGCCTTGAAGAATTAGATGGCACAATAATGTTTATGAACAAACAAACAAGCTTATGTACAGTGGGTCCCTTGTCATTTACAGATGTGAAAGGATTTATAGCCTGTCAGTATCAAGTTCGGCCAAATTTTAGCTCAGTTGAATTTGTAATTAAGCTTGTTAGAGCCGAATTGTTTTTCGCCAAGATCTAGCATGTTATCCTTACAGTTTGCTGAAGTGATCCTTACTCGATTTTTAAGCGTGAGACATTTCAGGTGACACTCCAAGACCGATTGGGTTAGGCAGATGTGCAATCTAGTTGGCACAGCACCTGTCTTGCCTGCTTTCAGTCTTGGTACTCTCACCCCTCCTCCATTAGAAACCCAAAATCAGGATCACAAGTTGATAACCAAAGGAATCATGAGTTAATGAGCCCAAAGCCACTACAACATTCAGAGGAACGTTTTTGTTTCCTGTCAAGAAAAAGAACAACAGCTGAGAAAAAAATTAAACGTTTGCCTTTTAGCCCTAGGCCTAGCGGGATCTTTCCACATTTTATCAAGATAAAAGTGTTCAGATGGAGTACAAACAAGAGCCAAGTAATGTGAGACTCTGAGTAACCTGCAAAGCCTTCGAGCACCTCAGGCGGAAAAGATGGCGGCTGACCGCCCATCAAAGCAATTTCTACTCGGAATCAGGCAGATTGAAGAATAAAGTGACGAATGTTAGCAAAATAAAACGAATAAAACAGAGTAAGGGGTCTCGTGGGTTGGATAGTTACCTTATTGCTCGCTCAAAGCCAGAGCCAGAGCCAGAGCCATCTCAGTGCTAGCAGGATGCAGAGTTCAGCAACCTGAAACGTGGGAACCGCAGGTGGGAACCGCCTATCTGGTTGCAAGAAAGTTGTTAGGCTGCGAAGCACGGTAGGGCTACGCGGCGGGACGCAGAGGTGGAGGAGTGCAGCGGACCGGCCGCCGGCGCCCGGCGGCGGAGTTGTGGCGGAAGTCGTGCCGCTCATAGGCCCACGGTATGGGCCCGAGCTGCCAGTAGCTAAAGTCCTTCTGGGCCACGAGTGGGCCAAAATCGATGGGCTCGATGGAAAACTTCTTAGCGGGCTTTCTAGTTTGAGGCTAGCCTGGATATTGAGACAGCTCAGCTGGTTACAGCTCGGCTCATTAACATACTGGCTCGATTCGGCTCGTTATAAACGAGCTAGCAGAGTAGCTCGGCTCGGCTCGGCTCGCTAAAAAGCTCGAGCTAGCTCATTTGGCTCGCGAGCCAAATCTTAAAAACACAATACAGGAGATTATAAAGCTAGTGAGCAACAAACATAAAGTACTTATAAATTTAACAATAGAGAATATAATCCATCCATTGATTGATCCACAATTCCACAAAGTTTTTGTCCAGCCAGCCCACCACGACCATGACCATGAGTCCATGATAGTCATACTCATATAGTTTACACATCAGTACATCACCCATTCATCCATACAGAA